AAAAATAACTGCTTGGAAGTTTTAATTTTTGTTTTTTTTTTTAAATGCTTTTAGCAATTTAGTGTTTTGAGCTTTTTGCAAACTGCACTTAATTTAAGGTTTTAAATAAATTTTCACTTAAATCTATTTTGTTAAAATTGTTAAATTGGCTTTGAAAATAAATTTTATTTAAGGTAATTGAGGTAATTAATTGCCTGAATATACAAAATATTTCATATGTTTTCAACTTTTGAATAAATTAGAAAGTTGATTTCAAAAATAAGTTTAAGTCTGATAAAACAAGCGAACGATTACATCCAATAAATTGAACTTGCATAGATAAATAGATAGATAATTTGCCGGTTAGTAAGGATACATTTGCAACGATTGTGTTGCCGAAAACTCAAGAAGGGGTTTCGAATTGCATGGGCCTTCAACATCAGCAATTATCGAAATCCATAACCCGCCCTCTAACGAGAAATTTTGCGAAGAGCCACCCTGGAACCCAGAAAAAGACGCCGTATTACCGAAGTCAGCATACTTGCCTTTGAAATTTCAATAAATTTGCCAAGGCGAGATCCAATATTTCACTCTGTGGCTCAAAAAATTTACTCAGTGGCCAGTTCGGGCGTTCTTTACCTCCATCAAGAACGGCCACTTGCAAAGAACATGATTCACTGCTGAGATATCTTTACAGTATCGGAAATCATCCAGAGACTCTACACCTTAGCCTTCTAATCATCTCGAATAAGAGCTATTGTAAAATTAGGACACTAACTAGCAGGCTTCTATTTTCTTCCTTATGTCAGTCCTAAATTTTTCTAATGTTAGAAAAGTAGACCAGTCTGTTGAATAGAGTCAATAAACGATAACATATAGGTTTCTTACAATGTATTATAAAATATTATGGGCTTAATAAATTTAAATATCAAAATAAATTACCAAATTTTCCAAATAAATGCAAATTTAGAGGTTAAAATTCTTAAACGTGTTGTGTGGAACCAAAACATATTCTGTTATCCTTTCCATAATACTTAAATTTTCTGCAATAACATAAAAATTTTAATAAAAATTCTTATTATAAATTAAATACAATATGATACACGTTTTAATTAATTCAATCATCATAATAATTATTATTAAAATAAAATAAATTTCTGGCGACAACAAAATAATAAAAATATTTTTTATTTATTCAACACCAATAATTATAATTAATTAAATTACAAATTAGATTATTAAACTAAATTGAATTTTTTTGATTCAATTAATAAGTACAATATTTATTTTACAATACAAACTTCAAAACCGCACACACATAATTAAATCAAGAGTAATAAATAATAAAATTAAAATTCATTTATTATTCATTTTAGTTTTGGTGTCTCTGAGTGTTGTGCATAGTTGTCTCCGAATATATTCATTAAATATAAGGTAAATAATAATAAAAAATATGAGAAGAGCATTAAACGCATTTTCTTATTAATAAGAGAGAGACAATTTTTTGGTCTTACTCATTAATACAATCAAAATTAAATAACAAAAAATCAAAGCATTCTAATAAAGTTATGAGTTAACAAACATATTAGGTAAAGGAATCCCAAAATATTCTAATATAAAGAATTCATGCATGTAAGTGTATAGAGAAAGCAAGGATAATAAAAATGAAATAAAAATCATATTTGTAATGGTCAGAATAATTTTATTTTCTCTTTCATTATGAAGTCTTCTGTACACGCACAAGAATATGAGTGAGCTCTTATTCAAGTTTAACGTATCCATTTCGGGTAACTGAAATAAAAAGTCCTATTTTTGTATTAATAAAGGCGTAGGAATGAAAAACTCATATTTATGACATAATATTGTCCTTTTTTTTGGAAAATAAATTGCTCATATTATCATTTTAATGTTTTTTAATATAAATTTAAGAGTAAAGAGAAAATATGAAGAAATTTTCCTTGGTAACATTGCATCTTACATGACTATGTGTACATTATGGACTATGTAGCAGATCGTATGGCTTTTAAAGAATATTTTGTAGGATTTCCAAAAATAAAAATAATATTAAAAAGCGATTTAAGGATTTTTTAGCTTAAATTTTATTTGATCGATTTTGAAAATTTTTGGGTAATTTTTTAAAGTCGTTGGAAAGAAAAACAAATTATCGCTTAAAATTTCATTAAAAAGGATTTGATTTGGAAAATTTTCTAATATTTAAAACAAATCTAATTTTATTGTCTAAAAGATTGAAGATTTTTGAGATTTGTTTAACGAAAATTTCATGGTTGTTAAAATTTTAGGTTTGAGAAATTATTGAGGGGGGTTTATTTCAAAGCTGCAGTCGTATTCTCAGGATTCTGCTTATTTGTTTTCAATAGGGAACAATGGAACAATTTTCTAATTTACACTTTTGCTCTCACTGTACAGTGTTAAATATCATTGCAATATTATGCTATACATTTAATACGAAATTTTTTAAATTAATTTCAATATTTTGTATAAGAATACCCATAATTTCAATTATATTTGTAATTTATTTAGCCCTTACTCCCAAAATATAATTCGCCTTAAATATTAAAATTTGATTTCCTCAAGAAAAATATACTCGTGCACATCGAACATATCAGCATACCATTAATATTGCACTATTACACTATTTATAATAGCATAACTCACGTAAATTTGTCCATGTTATTTAAAATTCACCATTAATATTAATTTTTAATATACAAGTGCATTCACAGAATTCTATTTATTTCTATATAAATGCCATTTAATTAAGTGTGTTACAGCTATCATGAGAATAATCTAAAAATAATAATTCTGCTAACAATAGATTCCCACGTATTTATTATAATTGAAAGAGGCACAGAATTGTGGGATTTTTTATTATTGTCATTTGAATTAAGAAAAATTTTTTTGTTTTTGTGTCATTTTATATGACTTTTTCATTTTATACATAAAAGGGGGGGTGGGAATTTAATAATTAAAAGTGGTAAATTGTGTATAATTATTTCGCACTAATAAATCTGTTCTTACTTAATGTTTATTTAAAAAGAAATGGAGTTTTCTCAAGGATTTGTTCTAAAGGAAGTTTTTAAGTACTACTAAAAATTTACTCAATTTTAGATTGAAGACTTAAATAACTGAAGATGCCAAATTTTAATTACACAAATTTTAATGAAATCCTTCTTTTTTTAATTTCAATAATTATTGTGCAGTACTTGATCTTTCAATGCAATATCATACGCATTGTACTCCATTAAATTTTATCCTAAAAGCATTTTTTTTTGATTTTGAAAACAATTCAAACAAAGATTCAAATTAAAATTTTTTGATTTTCTAATTTAAATTAAGAAAAAAAGTGTAGAACTTTTAAACTCCACCGTAATATTAATGGTGTCCATAATTTAAAGAATATTTGAATGGTTTTAGCTGCATTTTGATTTTGAAGACTATGTAAATCAAATCATGCTTCTCTCTGCGCCTATTCGATTTCTCTACAAATATATCAAGCTGGCGGTTCAAATAAACTCTAATTTATCTTTAAATAAATTTTGTTAACAATTTCTTCTATGCACAAATGATTCCAGTGTGTAAAATATTAGATATGCAAAATTTTTATATTCCAAAATAAATTCCTTTCGAGTATTACCATTGATTAGCTCTATACAAAAATAATTCTATACAAATTTTCACTACTTTAAAATTAAATTGCATAACTTTAGGCTATTTGAATTTTTTACTCATTTCTGCTTCAAAAATATCTGCTCTAACTTAGAACGCGTTTAATACTTAATTGAAATTTAATAATAATATAATTTTTAATTTCTAAAATAATTCAAGTATTAAAATTCACAATCTACATATACATATAAATAAAATGATTAATAAAATAAAGGATATATGCAAGTCTTATAGGTATTATAGTTAAATCCATCTTGGATTATACTTTCCCCAATTAATCGATTTAGAAATACAAATATTTCTTCTATTACTTTTGTTTTAAAAAAAAATCCCATAACACAATAATACAAGGATATAAAAAAGTGCATAATGTACACACACATACCTATATCGTAATTGGAAATACCCTGAATCACAAAATGAAATAATAACAATTACGATTAAACATTTTATGCATAAAAATAATTTTAAGTGGTAAAGAAGTTTTCGTTTCATAAAATTTTTCATATGGGAATTCAAAGAAAATATTCAAGAGACTTTTCAATTTTTCCTATATTTAATTTTCTGTAAAAGAACAAAAAACTGAAAAACAAAAAAACAACAAAAAAATTTCATACATTTATACAGAAGACCATCGTCGTCATAAACATCGGTGAACACGGTTAACCCGAAAGAGTAGGTGTCCTTATATTTTCTTTTCTGTTATTTTTTTCTTTTGCTTTTGCTTTTCTATAAATTTTTCTTCGTTTTCCCTTAAATTTCTTCTTATACAAATTCAACATTAATTTGTGTATTGAAATGTGTGTATATGTTTTGTTTTCTTTGAGTACTGCAAAAAGGATATTAAGGGAAAGAAAAACAGCAACAATCATCAATATTTTTTTTTTTGTCTCTTCGTGTACGTAAAGCAATTGTTGCTGTAAAATTTTCCTGTTGCTAATATTTACCCTCTTATATCCTTTTTTAACCAATTTTTGCCATATTTTTTTTGTTTTTCTTGTATTTTGTTGCTATTTTTGTTGTTATCCTTTTGATATTTTCTTGTATTCTTTTTTTTTTGTACAGAATTATTGAATAAGGTAACAGGTTAAAAAGGCAGATTTCATTCTAAAACAGCAGAAATGAAAAAAAAAATATAAAAAATAAAAAATAAATTTCTTTAATAGTTGAAAATTTTTTGCAGAAATTTTTTTTTTAGCAAATAAAATAAAGGATAATACAAACAAAAAACATGACCATACAGAAAATATTTTTTTTTTACAACAAAATTTCACTTGTATTGTAGGCAATAAAGTAAATGGAATATATAAATACAAAACCTGTAAGGATAACGGTTAAAATAATTTTGACTTTTCAGTTAAAAACATCTGAAAAGGATAAGCATAAAAACGTCTAAAAACAATCAAGTGTTATAGAAAAAAAAAGCGAAAAAAATAAGGATCAATTGATCTGCTGAGTGAAAGTTTCAAATTTAAAATTTTTGGTCGTGAGAAAATATTCGAAAATCTTATTTGTGAAATTAATTAAAAGAATTGCAACTCAATTAATTAGAAAATCAAAATTTAAAAAAAAAAAATTCAAAAAAATTTCGTGTCAAAATAAAATTAATCCAATTTTGATTTTGAAAAGAAAAAAAAATATTTGGAAAAAAAAATAAAATAAAAATTTATTTGTTAAAAGAAAAAATATCAAAATTTGGAATTTCTCGGAGGATCTTATTGATTTAAACAAAATTATAAATATTGCTGAAAAAGAAATAAAATTAGAAGAATCTAGTTTTGAAGAAGAAGAAATAGAAGAAGCAGAAGAGACTCCTTTACTTGAATTAAATAAGAACAAAAGCAACAGGTACCGTAAAATTTTAAAATTTTTCAAAATTTTGTCTGAATTTTTAATTTGTTACTTGTATTTTTGTGAATAAGTTCATAATATGTAAAAATTTTGAAAGTCTAAAATTTTGGTTCAATATTAAATAATACAAGATAAATGAGGTAGTGTTAACCGATCACCTGAATTAAAAATTGTGTAGTTGTATAATTGCAATAATCTAGTTGATATCTAGGATTGTGTGATCCTTAAATTTTATAATTCTCGTTCAAATGTATATAGCCTTTGAGACCTGAGTTTTCTAAAAGCTAGGCAGTTATTTCTTAATATCCACATGAAAACTATACTAAAATTTCACAAATAACTTTAGATTTTACGCGGATTTATGGAGGAGAAATTGAATGGAGGATTATGAATGAAAAATTTTCCATAGCTTCATAATCCAATTTTCAATACTAAGTCTCTGCTTATAAAATTGGAAAAAAAATCATCTTTTTTTCCTGTAACATATTGTCGATAAGAATAATTGGAATACGGGTAAGGCTCTATATCACGTCGATTTTAAATTTAACAAGAGTTTAAGTTTGGAAGAGTTAAGAAATAATTCTTACTTAAATTTACTCAATAAAATCCGCCTAAGTTAGTCTTGATATTTTAAAATTTTCTTTAATCCTTCTTTAACCAAAATTTTTTCGGAATTAATGTCTTTATTTGGAATTTATATTGAAGAAAGGAAGGATTTGCTCTATTCAATCGACATTATTACATATAGGGTACCGTGGTCTTTAATGATCTTCTGTTCCATTTCCATTTGTATATAAAACTGTATTATATATACAGACTAATCCCAAATATTAAAATTTTATTACTAATAATTAATATTTAATCACTAATCAGTAAGAGTTTTAAAGATTTTAAAGAAAAATTGTGTTTTTTCATCATATTTTTAAAAATATGGGATTCAAACTTGTTATAGGATTTTGTGTTTTACACTACAAATTTATTACAATAAATTATTCATGCATTATTCATGAAATTTAAAAATTAAATAGAATTTTTTTTAATAAAAATTATAAAAATTCATAGTTGATTTTAATAGATTATTAAATAATCGTGAATTATGACCCAAAATTTTTGTTATAAATTGAATTTAATTTAATAAAATTTTCATACAAATTAAAAATCTAATCAATTAAATGTATAATTAATGAATTCATAGAATATTTATTAAAAAAATTAAAATCTTTAATATTTAATTACAGTGTGATCAATAATAAATCCAATTAATTGACACACTATATGAAGTACTTAAATCTCAAGGTACTCAATACTTTAATATTCAAATATTAAGGACATAATCACATAATTATTAAAATATAATCATTTTAATATTATATTGAACTCTATTATAGCATAAAATTTTAAAGAATTCCTTCAGATAGACGATGAATCCTGTAAAATTTTATTTATCAAAATAATTTTCAATATTCTAAAATATCAATAAAAAAATCCTCGTTGTAGCTTTATTAAAATTATTTTTAAGGGAAATTAATTATAATTTTATAAAATAATATTTTGAAACCAAATTAATTGAAATATCCTTAAAATATTTCATTAATATTTTATAGTTATGCTGATGAGAAATAGCGAATGATGAGCGAACTGCCAAACTGATTATGCTCATATTACATTGAATAGATTACCTTATGAGTTGATGTAGCAGCAAATACTTAACGTTCATTCATAATTTAATTAATGAGAACAAAAATTTAATTTACATACCCACATGTTGATATACCAAGAATAATCCTTTCAAAAATTATAATATTCATGCAAATATTACATATATGTACATACGTATATAGAACCGTCGCGGGAATAAATCAAATTCAGATTAATAATTTAAATAAAAAACAAAATTCATAGAATAAAATATAAAAGATTTCGAAAAATTAAAATTTTTTAATCAATTTCAATAGAAGCACATTACGTATTCAAAAAAAAAATATATTAAATACCTTCAAGAATAGCTACTATAGATCCTGTTTAAATTCTAAAAATAAAAAAAATTTTTAAAAATTTCAAAGCCGTATTTTTACAAAATCGGCTTTTTCATTATCATTTCTAAAGGATTTATTGAATATTCACAAAATCATAATTTTGAACAAATACAAAAAAGAATCCTTTTTCTGTTATTCTTCTTATTTTTTTGGTATTTACATTAAATACCACGGCACAACAAACATAATTTATTTTGCTTCTTGTTTTTGTACAAATATTGATAAGGAATAGAGGAAAATCAGGAGGAAATCAGGAGAAAATCAGGAAAAATCTGAAAACCAATTTCAATAAAATTTATTATACAAGAAAAAAGATGGACAGACTTGGAAAATAAATCAAGTTCAAAGGAAAATGAAAAAAAAAAGAAATAAAGGATAATAAAAATTTTTTTTATTATTATTGTGTTTGTGCCTGTGTTTGCGGTAGAATGTGTGGTAGAAAATTTGATACATTATGCAATTTTTTTTTTTTCTTGATTAATCTGATCAATTGAATTTTCTGTCTACTTTTCTACCTCGTATGCCTTTAACTTGATTTTGGGGTCAATTGAGCAATTAAGGGTTTTAATTATGGGTAAAAGGATTTTTTTAATAGAGGACATGTGCATATGTAAATATTTTTCCATATTCTCGTATAATTAAATATTCTTCTTATTAAAAAAATATATAAGAAATTTAATTTTAAATATTTTTAAATTGAATTATAAATTAAGTACAATTCAGGTCAGCACGTTAATGGTCTATTAAACATTTTTGCAAAAATGAGATTTTATGTTCAATAGAGCTGAAATGGCCTAAAGAATTGTTCTATGTTTTCAAAACATTTAGTTTACTACTCGCTTTACACTATTACAAGTTCGTTATAAAAGTTCGTTTTTGCCTTTTTATTTCGTAATTTACTTGAAATGTCATATTTGCAAGTAGGCCACTAATGTGCTGAGTGTCTCAATATTTAAGATAGATTTTTCAACTAGTTTTTTATGATATTTTTATGGTTTGTGTTAAAAAATCTGACAATTTTATGGTAATTTAAGTAGGGAATTAATTAATTTTATTTTTTGGGCAATATTTAGTACGTTACTTGTGCATTTTAACCCAATAATACTATCTAAATGAACTGTGAAAGTTTATATGATGATTTTTATTAAAATAATTCTTCATTTAAGACGTAAGATCGTTGAGAATCTATAAAATAATGACCATATTATATAAAAAATTTAAGAATATTTCGTTGATTTCGCATTCTGAATTTTTCATTTTGGAAAATGAAATTTGATGTGACAATGCAGGAACGGGTTTAATATTTATGTTCTATATTGCGTCGATTAATTGTTTTGTTACTCGATATGCATAATTAAAAACAGGTCACCCGTTTGAGATCAAGGCCTGTTTTATGTTAATTTTAAGCCATAAGAAATTGCAACTAAAAAATAATTACAAATAATTTAAATAACTTACAAAAAGTGCGATACCAGCAACCAAATGCTTAAATTATACGCTTTAATGAATTTCTTAAATGAGCTCTAATTTTTACTAACACTAGAACAATAATTTTATTCGTTCTAGTGTTAAATCAATTAATTTTTGAATTATGGGCAACATCTCACGTTGTCGATTGTATGGAGTGGTGAACCGCAATAATAAAGATCTATTGGGCCTCTTCTATTGTGTCCCATTTCACATCCCATAACATGTCTGTTTTCTTAAATTAACTAAAAATTTTATAATAAAAGCAAAGATTAATGAATTTTATGAATTTCACCATATACGAACCTTTTCAAAATTGCTGTCAAAATTTTGTGAATTCAAACCAAGTGAAAAAAAATCTACAACAATTGCTATGGTGTGACGATCAGAAATAATGGTTAAAATTACATTGTAGGTAGAAGTAATAATAAATTTTTTGAAATTGATTTGATTTCTTAGAAAATGGGTCTATTTGCACTTTTGTTTTATAAAAATTTTTTTAAAATTTTAATTATTTTATGTTAAAACAAAATTGTTATATTTTTGTATAACATTGAAAATTTTGAAACTTGCAAAAGTTCACAATAGATTAGAGAATGTTAAAATTGAATTCATTTTTATTGTGATCTCTATTGAGAAAATTAAAGTAAATTCTCAAAAAAAAACAGAAATTTTTTAGAGAAGAGAAGTGAGAATAATTGTCAACTGATTGCAATTCCTAAATGTAAAAAAATGAGGTCAGAAAATTATTTGGTTCCGTGTCCCGGCTAGCCAAATTGAAAAAATTTTGTAATTTTGTTCTGAAGGAAGCCATGTAAAGCTTAGAAATTTTAAGGTATGACCTGTAAGGTACGAACGATTTTGTAATACGTGAAAGATTTTCCGATAAATTTTTGAGTGGTGAGAGATTTTCTAAGAAGTTCACCTTAAATTTCAAATGATAATTGCTTGGTTAACTCTGAATTGTTGAAACAAATTTCGAGCTTGCTGAGTTCGGAAAATAAATGATTATATTCTCTATTATATTTCTTAGATTTCCTTTCAAAATTTCTTTCCATATTGCAAATATGTTCGCTTATCTTATAATTAAATTTAGTTTTCCCAATTAAATTCCCATTTCTCTGGTTATGCTTTAAATTGTTATTCTTAAGGTTATCCCAATTTTATTGTATTTGAATTTTCGGCTGTGAAGTGCATATCCTTTAATTTTTTTTATTTGATTTTGTTTTGTTTCTCGCTCTCATTTCCATTGTTTTAAAAATATTATTTTCAAATTTAGACGATGGATTATAGTCTTATATTAACGGTTTTAATTTCACGTAAACTTTTTTAGGATTTTTTTCATCTTTGTTTTGTAATTTAAAATCTTGAAGAAAGTTTTGAAACTATTAAAAGAAAGTTTTCGAAGAAAAAAGGAAAATAATATGAAGAATATTTTAATTTTCACCTTCTTAATAAAAAATTTCATATAACCTTTTTTTTTTTTTGGAGAAG